AAGATTTTTTGAAAAAAAGGTCAATGTTTATTGCAAATAAGAAATTTTTATATTTTTGTATATGTTAATTTTTACATACAGCACTTGTATTAAATATGCCGTCCATTTATTTAATAATATATCACAGATTGAAGAATTGCACTCACTATGGAAATATCTGGAAAAACCACTTAACTGAATCCTAGTATGCTTGATAGAGGTGTCAATATGACAAGAAATTTTTTTTTCTCTCTCTTATGAGTTAAAGGTATAATGCATTGTTTAATATTATTGCTAAATTTTTCCTAATTGAAATGGAGTTCATTATTTATTTTCATCCATTTTTTTTTCAACCTCAATATTTTCAAGTGAAGTGCACTTATGCCAATGGTAGAGGGAGCATTGTGCCGGAGAAAGCTAGATATTTTCAACCGGTCAATTATGTCGTTGATGCAAATGCCAGGATGTATTTGGGATTGTAATGGGTAGTAATGGTTTAAATTTTTTTTATATATAAATATATTAAAAATAATATTTTTTTATTATATAAAAATTATTTTGGATATTAGTATATTAAAATATCTAAACATATAAAAATATTTTAATAAAAATATTTAAAATTTAATAAAACATAATTTATATAGAATCTAGAACAATTACGTACAACAAGTTGAACTCTATCTAATTCAATTTTAATTCTAATTTGGGTTAAAGATTTGAGTTAAAAATTAGAGTATATTAGCTCATCGTCAAACTAAACTATTTTTAATAATACTGTTAAAAAATTTACCCTCGGCGGCTAACAAGTAACCTTCTAGCTATCCACTTTTCAATGGCGACGCATGGTTGGTTCCATTACAACGCCGTACAATAACAAGATTTACGGCGCACAATCCATGCCTCGAGAAATTTTGGTGCGAGGTAGCGTTTCTTGTGGGTTCATGAGCGTTCGTCATGACATCTAGAAGTTGTGTGGGGAGCTGGTTGAGCAGGATCGGATTATGAGGGAGCCTCAAAGTGATTAATCGGGGTCGACAGTATTGGACGACGTTTGTATTTATTAAAATTTAGTGCATGTTACACGATATTATTTTTAAATATTAAAATAGTAATATATTAAATAAAATATTATTTTAATAAATATTAAAATAACTATATATTAGATTAATCCGAATTAATCAGATTTAACTTATCAAATTTATCAAACTGCAACTTTAGTTATAGGATAACTAAAATATTCTTTATCAATCTTATTAAAAAACTATTCAACTTAATATGTTAAGCTGTTAAAATTTATCTAGATTTATTTTATTTTATGTTTAATTTTTATCAAATAAATAGGAATGATGAGATTCGAACTTGTGACAGTTTGGTCATCAAGACTCTGATACCATGTCAAATAATCAATTCAATCCAATAGTTTAAGTTGTTAGGTGATGGTACAAGATATTATTTATAATATTTTCTAACAAACTCAATATTAATAAACAAAAAAATATTCAAATAAAAAATAAAACAAAAAAATTACTTTAGTCAATATTAATTAACCTTTCAAATTTATTATCAAAGTCATGAGATTAGAATAAATTTATAAAAAATAAATTAAAAAAATATTAAACTTAATTTTTAATTAATCTAATATTAAAAAATAAAATTACAAAATAAAAGTAAATAAAAAATAAAACTAGATTGGATCGTTGAAGGAAAAAATTTAAAATTTAAAATAAAACAAAAATAAAAGCAAAGTATTGTTCAGGGACAATGCTTTTTGAAAGGTGAAATGTAACATTTTCTTCAAGTTTGGGTTAAATGTAATTAATGGAAAAAAATAAATAAAAATGAGCCCAAACATTAATGAGACAGGCCGATGCCTATGGCCTTGATAAAAAAGCTCAAGCCTCCGCTTAGTTTTTATAATTTTTTTTCTCAGCAATACACATTGCGTAATCCCCTTCTTTTATTAAAAAAAAGTGATACGTTGTTTGCAATAATAAGTAATATTTCAGCATATCTAATGACTAAATAATCAAAGCCTATGGTTTTTGGATCCTAAAAACCTATGTTTTAGTGTTTTCCATAAAAAACAATATAAATCTTGCAAAAAACACTTAATAACCTAAAAACACCCTGTAATCACTCTAAAAAATAACAAATTGATCGAATTAAAAAAAAGTAAATAGATTCCAATCTACTTTTATTTTATTCCAAAAAACACTTAATAACCCAAAAAATACTTAATAATATAAAGATATAATTTAAAAAATATATAAAAGGAGTTTTACTGTTTAGTAAATAACGAGTTACTTTCAACTCGAATAGAGTTAATATCTAGTTATTAATTAATTATATTTTATATATTCTCATATTTTAATATTCAATAAAAATATTTTGAAACATTTAAATAAATTTTCAATTGCACTCTTGTTGGACTATTAATGTTTTCCAATATATGTGAAATAAAAAATTAAAATGAAAGGGAAAACAGTGAGCAACTTGTTACGACATAAATTATGTCACAGATTAATTTTTTTTTAAATGCAGCGGTTTGAGAACAAATTTTGGTCAGAAATTATAAAATGCAGTTTGAGAACAAATTTTGGTCAGAAATTAATTCAAATAAATACTCGAAACTAAAAATAATTCAAAAAACAAAATTATAGTTGATATTCGATCCAAAATAACCTGTTTGCGACGAACCTCAATCGATTTTTTATTGCATGTTTTCAATTAAATAATATCTTAAATTGTTTCGCCACCAAAATAACTTTCCACTGTTGCTTAATATATATATATATATATATATAATGCTAAAGGAAAATGGAAAAAAAAACTCTCAAACCCATAGGTCAACCTATACCCATATAAATCCAATGAGTTTGGGTCAAAACAAACCCAAGTGCAAGATGACTCGTCTACATCTATCCAGCCCAGCCCAACCCAATTGTAGATCTAATTGCAATTATATAAGAAAACGACTCAAATAATACAATATACATTATTGTATGACTGGGAATAACTAGATTTATGAGCGTGTTCTGCTGCATGCTGAAAAACAAGTTTGGGCAGAGCAAGTAGTTTTAAAGAAGTCAAAAGAAACCAACCCATAACATAGAGATAAAAAGAAAAGGTGTAATCTAATTAGATAATAATAATAATAGATAACAAATACTTAATGGATTAATATAAACAAAAACAATTAATGTGACCAACAAAAAAAGAACGGTCACCAATACAAAAAAATATCACACAACTGGTATTTTAGCCAATCAAATGAAAAAAAAAGGAAAAACAAAACTTGACTTAAGCCAACTTAAACAAGTATCTCAAATATATAATTTAGATAATAAAATTAAGATAAATCAACAAAAAATAAAAGAAATCCAAACTCCAATCCAAACAAATTAAACTAATTGTAACAATATAAAATTAAAAAAAAATCAACAAAAAATCAACTAATAAACTAGGCAAGCCAACAAACTTTATAACTTAAATTATGAGAATGAGATAATCCAGTAGAAGGTAAAAAAAATAATAATAAAATTTAATTTTAAAATAACTTAATGTTGAAGAATAAAATTAACAAATATTAAAATTAAAAAAAACAATCCTAAAATTTTTTTAGCTAACTCAAGCGAACTCGCTAAACCAATAGTCTAAGTGATGAGATCAGAATAAACAAATATAAACAAAATTGAGAAAAATCATGAAGCCTAATACAAAAAAACTCTAACCTTGAACAATGGACCTAAAAAAAAATTCAACTAATCTAATATTGAAGGATAAAATAAAAAAATAATTTAAGAAATTTGTCAATGTAAATTTAACAAAAAAATAACAAATAAAAAGATCCAAAATAACCTAGGTTATTTTTAAAATTTATGAAAAAACATTTATAAAAAACAAATAAATAAAAATAACATAGTCCAATATCCACTTGAGTAAATGATGAAACTAAAAAACTATAAGTTTCAAAAAAAAAAATGAAGCAAATTTGGTCAACACATTAAAACTTGAGTTAATATATCAAATTTACAAAGTGTGAACTCCTAGACCTAAGCTAAATAAAAAAATTCAATTTCCAACTAATTTAATGTTAAATAATGAAAATGAAGAAAAAATAATTTTTTTATAAAGCATCAAAGTGAAAAAAATAACAATAAAAAAAATATAAATAAGATTTGATATAAAAATGAAATTCTAAAAAAAAATCAATTTAAAAAATTATTTAAAATAAAATAAATATCAATTAAAAGAATAAAAACTAAATTTAAAAGATAAAAAATTAAAATTAAAATTAAAATATTTAAATTTTTTCAATTGCAAAAATATAATTATGTCAACTTGATATTAACCAAGAAATCACGATGAAAAAGCTTCTAAAAATTCTTTAGTAGATTTTTCTTTTAAGAATAATTAAATAATTTTATTGTGCAAAAGCTTAGTAGATTTTTATTTTAAGAATAATTAAATAATTTTATTGTGCGCTTTTACTTATAGTTTTAATTTTTATTTTATTTTAGGAGTAGCTAAATAATTTTACTATGGAATAAAAAAGCTAAAAGATTAATATGTCCACATATAATTTGAGATTGACAATTGAATCATGGTAAAAAAAAAAAACACTATTTTATCCTCAATACTCAAGTCAAAGGTCCTGTAATTGAAGAGCAAAAAAATTTATCCTCAATGCTTAAGTCAAAGGTCCTGTAATTGAAGAGCAAATTTGTCATTATACAATAACAGTAAACAGTATTCTACGGGTATCTGTACAATAACTCCACAAGTGTGTGTGTATATATATATATATATATATAAAATGTTAAGGCTTTGGCAAACTATGGGCTTATCCGAATCAAATCTATCTTTGATTTTCTTAAAGGCTCGGCCCATCCAAAGAAAGACGCTTATCCAATTAAATATATTTGACTAAAAAGGGGAGATGAAACAAGTGTCTCTAGGACTATAATCTCGCGCGCGGGCACATAAATGTCGATAGTTAGAGTGAGAGACGCAGGGGCCACATGGAGATGGCAAATAAGCAACGCAAAGTGCTTAGACACTTGAAATTTACTCGGCTCTGCACTTGGCTGCTCTCTTTCTTTGCCATTTTGCCCTCACGCCAATCTTTCAACTATGGTGAAGCTCTCTCAAAAAGTCTCCTCTATTTCGAATCGCAACGTTCTGGGCGGTTACCATACAATCAAAGAGTCGTTTGGCGATACCATTCAGGCCTCACCGATGGCCTAGAACAAGGAGTAAAGTCACAATCAATAACCATCACTTCCATATCCTTATATACATATATATATATTCATACTAGCTAGAACATATATTTTTCTTACAGGATTCTTTTCTTCTTTCTCCCTTTTGGTATTGGATGCAGTATGTTTCATATATGTCCATGCATTTAATTTTGGAAACCTAATTTGTTCCGATATATATACATATTGTTGTCAGGTAGACTTGGTTGGAGGTTACTATGATGCTGGGGACAACGTCAAATTCGGTCTGCCAATGGCATTCACTATAACAATGCTATCATGGTCTGTTATTGAATATAGCGAGCAGATTTCCGGTGCCGGAGAGTATGAACACGCGCTAGAGGCAATCAAATGGGGAACAGATTATTTCATCAAAGCTCATACTCACCCCCATGTCTTATGGGCTGAGGCAAGTAGTTCAAGCATTTGAATGTGGAAAGGGGAGAAAAGACCCGTTAAATAACGCACGAATCATTACTCTATCTGATCCAGAATTAATACACACATATGTATGTATGTTACTCCAGTACTAGCTAGTTTTATACCAAACAAAATCGAAAATTTTTCAGGTGGGAGATGGTGACACCGATCATTACTGTTGGCAGCGGCCGGAGGACATGACAACGTCACGGCATGCCTACAAGGTTGACGAGAACAACCCAGGATCAGACATCGCAGGGGAGACCGCGGCAGCAATGGCGGCAGCGTCCATTGTGTTTAGGAAAACAAACCCACACTACTCCCACCTACTATTGCACCATGCAGAACAAGTAAGTTAATTAATTAGGTTTGTTATGCATGGTAGGTGCACTGCACTATACACCAAAATCACGAAGAAATGAATTTTATTTAAAGGTGTTAGAGTTACCAAACTTGTAGAATGCGTTTAACTAATTTTAGTTGTATTGTATGTATAAAAAAAAATGGTAAAATAATGATGATTAAATGTGGGCTTGGGTTGGCTTGCAGTTGTTTGAGTTTGGTGACAAGTACAGAGGGAAATATGATGAGAGTGTTAAGGTGGCGAAGGGGCACTACACGTCGGTGAGTGGCTACATGGACGAGTTGTTATTAATATTAGTCTTATTAATTTGTAATAATTAAAGAAATTAATATCAAACAAAATACATGTAAAAAAAAATACCTACTTCACTTTGACATAAAAAAAATATAAAATTTCATTGATAAAATTATATAATATTGATAAAACATTATCAATAACTTTATTAGCTAGTCAATAGTTACAATGATATTTGCAATAATTTTTCTTCAGTATTCTTTGAAATATATTGTTAGACTTATTCTAATATTTGCAATAATTTTTTTTGATTATCTAAAATATACTGATAAATTTATTTAATTGGTGAGTTAACAATAAAAATAATATTTATAATAATTCTTTTTAAATTTTATGAAATATAGTAAAATAACAAAATTTGGAGTTAATGCTTGTGGTGGATTTGTGTTGTCTTAGTTTTTTTTGGTTTTTTATTAAAAAACAACCTTTTATTATTGGATGCCATTTTGTTTTTATTAATTACCGTTTTTTTTATTGGTTTTCAATTAAAATCTTGGTTGCCGTTTTGTTTTCTTAATTTTTTTTTATTATTTTGTTACTAATTCAAATAGGACATTTTACAAAACAAATCATAGTATATAAGTTTCTAAAAGTAAAATAATGACTCCAAAAAATGTATTTTTTCTCATCTTTTCTAATTTTTGTTACAGTCCAATTCAATTTGAACTATATTCCAAAAAAAAAAAGATGACATCATTTTTATCTTTTTCCATTTTTAAATTTTCATTGGGTTTTCAATTAAAATAAGATTTATTGGATAATTGTTGGTTATGACACGTGTCACAATCTTGTATATTTGTCACCTACCGTAATGTAAGATATAATGTGGATCAAAATTAAGTATACAATAATCATATTAGTATAAACTAGACAAGTGGTATGCACTATAACATAGGCTGGTCATTTTTTTTTTAATATAAATAAAAGATAGTTAGGAGATGCCAACATTTTTAATTAAGCAAAAAAAAAAAGGTTAATTTATTAACTTGACTAAGTTCAATAAACTCACTTAACTTAATAATATGATTATAAATAAAGACATCTACAATTAAAATAAAAATAAAAATAACAATAATTAACTATAAAAAATAGTTGTTAATATTATACTAAAAAAAAAAAAGTTTATTAGAGATTCACCAATGTGCTCCACAATGCACATTGAACACCTTATAACTAGAAAGAACTCTCAAAGGAGAGGCTGCGCAACGACATTAAAAGAGCCAGCATGCATCATTAAAGTAGTGGCTCGAAAAACAAATGAAATAAAATATCATGAAGTGATCATATCATGTTTATATTTAATCAATTAATTTAATTTAATTTTTATATTTTTTTAAAAAATAAAGCTAAATTAAACTAAGAACGTCAAATAAAAAAACATGAGATAACTAGGTTATTTTTAAAATTAGTGAAAAATCTTATAGGAAATAGATAAATAAAAATAACATAGCTTAATCTTCAACTAATTAAATAAATATAGAATGATGAAATTGAAAAACTATAAGGTTAAAAAAAGAAAGGAAAGCAAGCAAACTCGGATGAATGTTCTAAACCTCCGATAATCTTCCAAACTTACAACCTATGAAATTCTAGACTTGGGTACAATTAATAAGCTCAACATATAAGCAATCTAGTATTAAGGAATAAAATTTTTAAAAATAATTTAAAAATATTAACAAAGTAAAAAAATAACAATAAAAAAATAAAAATCAAATATGATAGGAAAAAAATTTAAGAATATGAAATCATAAAATGAATTCAACTTTTAAAATTATTTCAAATAAAAAAATAACAATCAAAATAATAGGGATAAAAAATGACAAATGAAAAAAATTTAAAAAGTTTGAAATTAAAAAAATAAATAGTAATCAAAAGAATATGGATTAAATTTAAAAAAAACAAATTAAAAATTGCTTTGAAAATTTAAATAGTTAGGCATGCACATCAAACATCAAGAAAACAAAATAAAATAATAAAAAAAAATATTGTAGCGCCAAATCAAAAGTAAGCCAGCTACATGCATTATTTAGAGATAAAAAAACTGTTAAGATGTTTCAAATATCATCTTGAAAGCCACCATTTAACAGCTAAGCACTTTCTCACAAGTAGTCCAAATAATACCAGCATAACACATACATTAGGTATTTTTTTATTTTAAATATTATTTTATATATTTTTTAAAATATCAAATTTTCTCCCGTTTAAATATAACAAGAAAATCATGTTAAAAATACCAAAAAATCCTAGACAAGATTTATTTTAATAATTTAATCACTTTATTATGTTTTAGGAAAGTAAAAATTAAAAAAAGTGGCCTTGGCTTGAATGCTAGTAAAGAAAATTTTTAAGGATAATTTAATTATTTTATTATATGATAAAAATATGAAAAGAATCAAGGTAATTATAATTACTTTAATAATAACTAACAAACCTTACCGAGTTATATTATTACCTTGACAACCAATTCAACGTTTTTTTTTTATTAGAACAGTAAAATCGTTATTACATTTTCCAACCTATACTGTCTTGTGTTGTGCAGCCGATCCCTTTTAGTTTCTTAAACTCATGTAAACATAAAATAAAAAAATGAAGGACCCATTAACAGACAAATTCAGTGGTCCCATTTACAGTTTCTGTAGATTGATAATCAAAACGTCACCGATTAGTTCATTATAGGAAGAACACTACTAGATGGAACCCTATCGACACTCGTAATAATTAATCAGCATTGCTAAAAACTTAAAACATTAAACAAATCCAATCTTGAATGCTATTCTAATTAATTCCTTGACCCAAATTTTTTGTATACTAATTAAAATATTGATAATCTAAACTATTCTTAGCTCAAAACATATATATTTTACATTATGCTTATTCAATCCGAACTTGCATATTCATTGATTAATATTGGTTAAAATGAATTAAGAGAAAATAAATTATTATAAAAAGAAGAAACAATACTTCAACTATTATACTATCAATAAACTTTTAAATAATTTAAGTAGCTTTGATAATGATTAATCTAGCATTTAGACAATTATCTTGCTTCTTCTTCTTCTTCTTTTCTTCTAGTTTTACTTAAAAAAATGCAATGTATCTCTTAAATTAAATTTTATAATATAAACTTTAATTAACTTAAAAAAAACAATAACAATAACAATAAAGTTTATATTTATTTTTTATATGAATAGATGGCACAAGGGAATTATTTTATTTTATAACTTCCTCGCATGATTAGCTAATAATCGAGTCCTTTTCTTACATGATGATGTATATGTGTCAAAAATCAATCTCTCATCCTAGAATCCCCGAAAATTCTATGACAATTATATACAGATTATAATTTAATCTTTGCTTTTTTTTTTTTTATGATTTTATGAGTATTTCTAGTTGATAATCTGAATTTCTTCATATTATCTTTGCAGCTGCTAGCCGGAAAAAGCCACAGAAAACACCAGCACATCCTTAATGAATACCGTTCCAGGGCAGAATACTACCTCTGTGCTTGCCTTAACAAAAATAACGTGACTAACGTGCAGCGGACCCCAGGCGGCTTACTTTACATTCGCCAATGGAACAACATGCAATATGTATCAACTGCAGCATTTCTTCTCACGACTTACTCCGACCATCTTCAAGCCTCTAATCAACGGCTGCAATGCGATCAAGGTACACTGGACCCGTCAGATATCTTCAAGTTTGCCAAATCACAAGTTGATTACATATTAGGTTACAATCCAATGGGGATGAGCTACTTGGTTGGATATGGTGCAAAGTACCCTGCAAGGGTTCACCACAGAGGAGCATCTATTGAATCATATAAAGAGCAAAAGGATTTCATTGGATGCATGCAGGGATATGATATCGGGTACAGCCGACAAGGTCCGAATCCTAATGTTCTCACCGGAGCTTTGGTCGGTGGTCCTGACATGAAGGATCAGTTCAGGGATGAAAGGGAAAACTACATGCAAACTGAGGCCTGCACGTACAACACTGCGACTCTTGTAGGAGTTTTTGCTAAATTGCACTGGCTGGAAAAGGATTATTTGTCTGCTAATCCATCATTATTTGCTTACAGAAGATAATTGTATAATTTCTCCTTCATCAAATAAAAGAGAACCACACGAAGATTTTGGCTGTCATCCATGGAGATGGCAGTCTTAAATTTAGATCCAAGGTTCGCATAATAGTTGAGATAACGATATGGTCCCAAAAAGCCAAATGGGTTGTTTTAAGCTTTTAAATATAATGAAGAATGATGCTCATGTTTGAGGAAGTCTAAAATACCTGATCTTAGGCCTCTTTGATGGGTTGAGAAAATGATAGTGATGAGCATCCAAATTCTGCGTAAAAGAAAGCACCGGAAGTTTGTGGTGTTATGATTTTTAAGTTTTCTAAACACATATACGTAGTAAAAATAATAAATTTAATTTTTATTATTGTGCTAGATTGCAATTTATGTAATGGTTACATCATTTCGGTTAATTTATATCATAAATTAGTTATTACTATTGCACTTAATTACAATTATTTACTAGTTATTATCATTATAATATATTTTTAATTAAGAGAACATAAATTATTATAAAAAGAAGAAACAATACTTCAACTATTATACTATCAATAAACTTTTAAATAATTTAAGTAGCTTTGATAATGATTAATCTAGCATTTAGACAATTATCTTGCTTCTTCTTCTTCTTCTTTTCTTCTAGTTTTACTTAAAAAAATGCAATGTATCTCTTAAATTAAATTTTATAATATAAACTTTAATTAACTTAAAAAAAACAATAACAATAACAATAAAGTTTATATTTATTTTTTATATGAATAGATGGCACAAGGGAATTATTTTATTTTATAACTTCCTCGCATGATTAGCTAATAATCGAGTCCTTTTCTTACATGATGATGTATATGTGTCAAAAATCAATCTCTCATCCTAGAATCCCCGAAAATTCTATGACAATTATATACAGATTATAATTTAATCTTTGCTTTTTTTTTTTTTATGATTTTATGAGTATTTCTAGTTGATAATCTGAATTTCTTCATATTATCTTTGCAGCTGCTAGCCGGAAAAAGCCACAGAAAACACCAGCACATCCTTAATGAATACCGTTCCAGGGCAGAATACTACCTCTGTGCTTGCCTTAACAAAAATAACGTGACTAACGTGCAGCGGACCCCAGGCGGCTTACTTTACATCCGCCAATGGAACAACATGCAATATGTATCAACTGCAGCATTTCTTCTCACGACTTACTCCGACCATCTTCAAGCCTCTAATCAACGGCTGCAATGCGATCAAGGTACACTGGACCCGTCAGATATCTTCAAGTTTGCCAAATCACAAGTTGATTACATATTAGGTTACAATCCAATGGGGATGAGCTACTTAGTTGGATATGGTGCAAAGTACCCTGCAAGGGTTCACCACAGAGGAGCATCTATTGAATCATATAAAGAGCAAAAGGATTTCATTGGATGCATGCAGGGATATGATATCGGGTACAGCCGACAAGGTCCGAATCCTAATGTTCTCACCGGAGCTTTGGTCGGTGGTCCTGACATGAAGGATCAGTTCAGGGATGAAAGGGAAAACTACATGCAAACTGAGGCCTGCACGTACAACACTGCGACTCTTGTAGGAGTTTTTGCTAAATTGCACTGGCTGGAAAAGGATTATTTGTCTGCTAATCCATCATTATTTGCTTACAGAAGATAATTGTATAATTTCTCCTTCATCAAATAAAAGAGAACCACACGAAGATTTTGGCTGTCATCCATGGAGATGGCAGTCTTAAATTTAGATCCAAGGTTCGCATAATAGTTGAGATAACGATATGGTCCCAAAAAGCCAAATGGGTTGTTTTAAGCTTTTAAATATAATGAAGAATGATGCTCATGTTTGAGGAAGTCTAAAATACCTGATCTTAGGCCTCTTTGATGGGTTGAGAAAATGATAGTGATGAGCATCCAAATTCTGCGTAAAAGAAAGCACCGGAAGTTTGTGGTGTTATGATTTTTAAGTTTTCTAAACACATATACGTAGTAAAAATAATAAATTTAATTTTTATTATTGTGCTAGATTGCAATTTATGTAATGGTTACATCATTTCGGTTAATTTATATCATAAATTAGTTATTACTATTGCACTTAATTACAATTATTTACTAGTTATTATCATTATAATATATTATAATTATCTTTTAAGCATCATCATTATGGTTTATCATAATTACTTACAATTATGTATCATCATTGTAATTTATCACTAATTAGTATTTAAAAATGTATTTTTATTAAGATTTTATATTATTATTTTGCACTTGAAGTATTAATAACTCCTTAATTAAAACATGTTTTATAATAACATATCTAATAATATAATACACCTTTAATTTGTGGTAAATTATAAGAAATGCAGGCCTATCACATAAATAAAAAGATTGATTAATGAGTTTAAGTACTGAAATTGAAAGGACAAAGAGATGCTTGTGTAGTCCAAACTATAACACTGTTAGGTAATTATGCCATATCTAGAGCCATAAATATCAGATTTAGATCTATTTTATATGGATGGAAAGGTAAGACATAGGCCTATGATTAGTACTTAAAAGTGCATTTTTATCATGGTTTTATATCATCATTTTGCACTTGAAGTATCAATAACTCTTTAACTAAAGCATGTTTTATAATAATATATCTAATAATATAAGATACCTTTAATTTATGGTAAATGTTCATTTTAAATGCAGGCCTAACACATAAATGAAAGGATTGATTGATGACTTTAAAAACTTAAATTGCAAGGGCAAAGAGATGACCAAACTTAGGAAAAAGATGTCGGTGCAGTCCATACCGAAACACTTTTCGGTAATTAGGTCATATCTAGAGCTGTAGATCTCAAATTTAGGTCTAATTTATATGGATGGAAAGGTAAGACATAGGCCTACAACGTTCATATGGAGCCTAAGATCTAAAAATGCCATTTTCAAGTCCAAATTGTAGCAACACCAAAGAAGCCCGAATCTGTCTTCCAGCCCGAGCACTGTTCAGTATTTGACCCATATATGGAGTTCTAGAAGTCCAAATAAGCTGAAGTTTTTACACAAGAAAGCTGAGACAATTTACTACAACTTTCATATTTTTAAGTGTCTCCAATTTTGATGTTATCAATGATTTTTTGGGCACACAAGAGAAGATAAGGATTATCACCAAGTCAAGAGTTGGTCACCCACTCATCAATTAGTCATCAAATCAATAGTTCCCAATTTTGGCCTATAAAAGGAGGCATTTGCCATGCATTTAGGCATCGTGGTTTCCAGATCAAGATCATGCTCTTGCTTTCTCTCTTTGTATTTTTTGTAATGTTTATGCTTTACTTTCATTAATATCAAGTTTATGCCTTTCATTTACTTAGTTAACTTTTAACTTATTTATGTTCTTATTTTGTTTATTTTTCTTTCTTTCTTTCATTATGTTTAGCTAAGTTTATTGTGTCAAGGTGAAAAGGTTACACTAATGGTGTAAGAATAAGTATAATGTAAACTTAATATTATATCTAATAATATAAGATACCTTTAATTTGTGGTAAATATTCATTTTAAATATTCATTTTGATACTAACATGTTTTGTATTTGTTATCTTGTTCACTCTTTAATACTTTGCTTGTTAAATGACTAATCTTGATTTATGTTGTATAACACTTAGTACAACAAATGCTTGGCACTTTCATAGCCCATAATGTATGGTATAACCGACACCTGAGCTATGAAAGAAACTTGATTTGTTGTTAACATAAGTTATAATCATGAATGCTTGACGAGATTTACAAGTATTAGCATTAATTGAATAAGATGACTAATGTAATCATGTTAACAATATATAATCTGATTGGAACCTCCTTTGTGTGTGGTTTCCAATTCAATAATAAGAGTTTATACTATACTTGTTTGATATACCATTAGTGGAACCTCTAACCTTGACATTTGTTATTATCATTGTTTAATCGTTACATTAATATTCCATCTCAAAGTTCTGTTTAATCTTTACATTAATATTCCATCTCCAAGTTCTCATCATCTTCTTCTTCTTCTTTTTCTTTACTACTACTACTACTACTACTACTACTACTACTATCATTATTATTATTATAGTTGTTGTTGTTATTGTTATTATTATTGTTTATAATTGTTGTTTATAATTTGTACAATTAACCTTCCTGTGGTTCGACCCCGGTCTTGTCGGGTTATTTATTACTTCGAGACTCCTGCACTTGGGAGAAGACATCAATCTTTTAGTTGTGTCAAGTTTTTGGCGCCGTTGCTAGGGAGGTAAGTTCTTGTATAAATTATAGTAGTTTTTTTATTTTTCCTTTTCACTTGTATATAACTTTGTATCTTTTCTCTTGTTTCTTCTTCTTTTATTTTCTTCTTCCTTTTATTCTATTCCTACACATGCATAAGAGTGTGGTCACATACATCAAGTGGCAGACTTTGTAGGGTATCCTCATCATTTTCAAAAAATATGGTCGAAGAAGATAATCAATCACTTCATAATGAGAATAATGAGAATAACCGTGCTAGAACACTTAGAGACCACATGAATCCCACAAGAACAAGTGCACCATCATGCATAGTTTTTCCTCCTGATGCATCTCATTTTAATTTTAAACCAGGTATTATTCAACTTTTACCTTCTTTTCATGGCTTAGATTTAGAAAATCCATACTTGCATTTAAGGGAATTTGAGGAGGTCTACAACACATATAATAATTTAAATTGTAGCATGAACACCATCAGATTAAAACTTTTTCCTTTTTCATTAAAAGATAAAGCTAAAACATGGCTACAAAATTTGAGACCAGGATCTATTCGTGCTTGAGATGAAATGCAACAACAGTTTTTAAAGAAGTTTTTCCTATCTTACTTGAAGAAGTTTTTCCCATCTCATAGAACAAACTCTTTCAAGAGACAAATCACCACTTTCACTCAAAAACCAGGAGAAACATTTTACCAATGTTGGGATAGGTATCGAGACTTGCTTAGTACTTGCCCTCATCATGGTTTTGAAACATGGAGATTGGTTTCACATTTCTATGAAGGGTTAACACCTAAAGATAGGCAAATGGTTGAATTGATGTGCAATGGAACTTTTGAAGATAAAGACCCTGATGAAGCAATGAAGTTCTTAGACTTGTTA